ATTCAGACTAACACGGCTACCCCTCTGATACTTGCCTTCCTGGAACTGTGTGTGTGGAGCTCGCCCCAGCCCTGCAGCACAAGGACACCAGAATGAGAACTGCCTCTCAGTAGAGAACCATGTGGCAATCAGTGTGTGGAAGCTGATGACTCCAGACTGCTACCGGTCAGTCGCGAATCAATTTGGAGTGGGGAAGTTGACTGTTGGGGCAGCATTAATGCAAGTGTGCAAGGCAATAAATTGTATTCTGCTACGAAGGACCCTGACTCTGGGAAATGTGTGTGAAATAGTGGACAGCTTTGCAAAAATGGGTTTCCCAAACTGTGGAGGGGCAATAGCACACATATTCCAATTTTGGCACCAGACTACCTTGCAATGGAGTACATCAATAGGAAGAGGTACTTTCCCATGGTGTTGCAGGTGCTTGTGGATCACCAGGGGCGTTTCACTGATATCAACGTGGGGTGGTCTGGGAAGGTGCATGTCACACGCATCTTCAGGAACACCAGCCTATACAGAAAGCTGCAAGCAGGGACTTTCTTTCCTAACAAGATCACATTGCGGGATGTTGAAATGCCCATAGCGATCCTGGGGACCCTGTGTACCCCTTACAGCCATGGTTCATGAAACCTTACACGGGACACCTGGAGAGCAGTAAGGAGCGGTTCAACAACAGGCTAAGTAGGTGCTGGATGACAGTTGAATGTGCCTTTGGCAGATTAAAGGCGCACTGGCGATGCCTTTATAGCAGGTTAGACCTCACTGAGGATAATATTCCCATGGTCATAGCCACTTGCTGTACATTGCATAATCTCTGTGAAGCTAAGGGTGAAAGGTTTGCTCAGGGGTGGAGTGCTGAGGCAGACCGTTTGCCGCTGATTTTGAGCAGCCAGATACCAGGGCTGTTAGAGGAGCCCAGAGGTGGGCTATTTGAACCAGGGAGGCTTTGAGACAGCATTTGGACAATGAGCACCAGTAACAGATCTCTGTCAGAGGTGCTTCAATGTTACATTACATGTAGTTTTCCTAGAGGGCAATGGTGATACTTGGGGGTCTTATATTCCAGTATGCAAGTGATTAAAATGCCTGGGCATGTATTGGCGGTGCCTGCAATCTCACCTTGTAGGAAAAAAATAAAGATGATTTATTTTTATAAATCTTATAAACATTATAAAACTTTGCTTTTATTGCACAAGAAACAGCACACACAAACACACAGATGCTTGGTGAGAAAGTAGGAACCAGGGAAGGGAAGACTTTCACAGCTATGTGTAGGTCCAGCTATCATTGGGAAAGTTGTCCGAGTGGGTGGAGTGAATGGGAAACTGAGAAGTGCTGGAAAGTGGAAAGGAATTGTGGGCGGAGTTTGGGGGGTTGGCGCATGGGAAAGAGTTCTGAATGTGCTGCAGTGGAGGTCGAGCACTGATCTGCTCAGGGCTTGTCTACACTTACCGGGGATCTATGAGTGGTGATCAATGCATTGTCGGTCGATTTAGTGGCTCTAGTAAAGACCCGCTAAATTGACCGCAGATCGCTCTCCCGTTGACTCCTGTCCACCAGATCGAGAAGAATGGGGGAGTCGACAGGAGAATGTCTCCCGTCGACATCACGTAGTGTGGACCCCTGGGTAAATAGATCTAAGCTATGTCGATTTGAGTTATGCTATTCACGTAACTCAAATTGCGTTGCTTAGAGCGAATTTCCCCTGTAGTGTAGGCAAGGCCTCAGTCTGCAGCATTATTAAGGACTTCAGCATCTGTGTTTGCTCCTCCGTTACTTTAATCATCCGCTCAATTGCATCTTTAACAAAGGTGTGATTCTCTTTTCTGTCCTGCTGTTCGGCTTTCCAGCACTCCTTGTGTTCCCTTTTTTCTGCATTGGAGCACTGCTGGACCTCCCGGAACATGTCTTCTTTGCTGCATCTTGGGCACTTTCTTATCTGGTGGAGACGCTCGGCCAGCATGCGTGGGGTGTTCCTGAAGGCCACATCTGGTGAAGAACAGGGGACAATGCACAGAAG